AGTTGAAAGGAGAATGCAAGTATATGAGGTTATCTGGTTCTTTTAATCTCCAGGTATTACCAGCTACATGCGTGGTCAGATTGGCCCAAGCTCCAAGGAAATGTCTTCACTTAAAGCCATTACAGACTTCATGAAAGAAAGAGATGAATTAGTTGTTGTAGGATTCTTTAAAGATGAAAACGACAAGCTGCTGGAAAAATACCTGGAAGCCAATGATGACATCAGAGACAATTATCCCTTTGCACACACCTTTGATGCTACAGCTAAGAAGCACTTTGGCATCACCAAGAGCTCTATTGTGTTGTTCCATCCTGAAAAGTTCAGGTCAAAGTTTGAAGATAAACAAATTGTGTTTAAGGTAAGGGAAATATAGGTGGCATAAGTGTGTGCACATTCATATCCAGAACTGAAATTAGCAAACTTTTGGGTAAAAACACCTGAGCTATGAAAGATTAATTTTGAACTAACTGGTCAACTCTTGTGACATTATTTGGAACCTTCTGCAGCGCAAGGTTTTCTCCTTTACAAGTTTTCTATGAGTTCACGAATAGTCAATGAGGCATAGTCTAGTTGACTGTTGCTCATAGAAAACAAAGGTAAGTAGTCTTATCGTTCTGGTAGACACTAGAATTACAGCCCAAACCTACAACTTTGTGTATTTTTAAGGCTAAAATTAAGAACAACTTTAGTTCAAGAGCAGTGTGGGCACAATTGTTATTTATCAGCAAATATAAAACAAGAAAAGAACCAATCAAATTCGCAGATTTCCAGTAGAACACGGCTGAGTGGCTACTAATCAGTGTTAGTAGAATTCTTCTAGTGTACTAATGCAAATGCTGCAATCTGATTGGCTGAGCTACTTGTATATTATCAGTCATTAGGGTGCAGTGGCTGTCGGTAGTCTATGAAATACGATAGTTTTATCGCTTTTCTAAAGTTTTGGAAGAAAGTTGATATGTAAATGCATAATTAAATTTCTGCGAAGGCTAAAAGAAGAACATTAAATAATTGTTTCTTGACATTAAAAACTTGAAATTATTGAAAAAACAGGAGCGCGCGCGTAAACAGCTGCAAATTTTACCAAGGACAATTCAATACGTGCGATTTTGTTGAAGCGTAAAGTTCAATAATACGTAGAAGAATAATTGGAAACCGTTATTTGCGTTGATTTCAGTTAGAATTCCACTTAAACTATTAGATTATTCGCTCTCAATTTTTATGAGGCGATAGTTGATTCGGCCTTTGGCCTCATCAACTATCACCTCGTAGAAATCTCGAGCTCATAATCTAATTGTTAATTATTGTATGTTAATTTTATTAACAGGGTGAAGATCCCAAACCCGAGGACATTCAGAAATTTTATGAGGACAACCGTATTCCGCTGGTTGGTGAAATGGACTCTCATGACCAACAAAAGAAGTACACCAAACGGCCTCTGTGCATTGTCTATTACGACGTGGATTTCGGTTTTGAAAACCGCGTAGGTTAGTTGTTTTTCCTTGGTACTTTCCTTAGTTTTTTGAACTTTTTTCCAGCCACCAGACTTATTGGTGAGATTTGTTGGTGACAAGGACGAAGTTCTAAACTTCCAGTAGTGTTAGATCCAGCAGTGATCTAATTCCACCTTACTACACCAACGCAGTGTCTGCAGACAGGTTGAGAGAATAAAGAATTTCGTCAGTTAGAGTATGCCCAGGGATGGGTGGACTCCCATATTAGCAGGACAGAGTTGCTCATCATACCTTTTAGGTTGGTACTTCTTAGGCTGTTTAGCCTCAAAAGGTCCCCAGCGGGAGCTTTTGCGCACCATTTAGGGTATTGACCCGAAAAAAAAAAATTACAAGAGATAATGTGGTGTTTTAGAATTGGTACTTCTTAGGGATGAAAAATCTCAAGCCACGCCCACAAAACAGGGTCTTGGCACCTCTTAGGGGTTCTTTTCAAAATTTCCGACGAGCAGCCCCGTCCTATTTATATGGGAGTTCCCCCGGGGGAGTATGTTTCCTTGATCACCACTAAACTCTTAGGACTAAAATTGACAGAATTCTATGGTAGGCAGTAAAAGATTTGCTCTGTCGATCAGAGTACAGCTAATGATATTGAATGCTTTCATTCTCAGCGACCCAGTTTTGGCGTCAAAAAGTGCTAGAGGTCGCCAATGACCACCGTGACATCACCTTTGCTATTGCAAACGAGGAGGACTTTCAAGATCAGCTCAAAGATTTTGGACTGGATGATTCTGGAGAGGAGATAAACGTTGGCTGCTTTGATGAGAAGAACAGAAAATACCCAATGGAGCCCGATGAAGAATTCAGCGAAGATAGTCTCCGTGAATTTGTAGAGAACTTCAAAGAGGGTGAGCTGTAATCATTTGAAATTTCTTCCCAGCTTCACCTCACAAGACGCAGTTTGGGTTCCTCGTAAGCCAGTAAATCGCGCGTTTTCATAAAGTTTCTCAAAGGTTGTCCAAATATCACAGTGTTACGAGTAGACTATATACGTTGTTAACAAGAAAATCGAGAAATCGTCAGGACTAATTCTGGTTATGTGCAACAAGCTCATATCCGTGTATTATTCGTCTTGGTTTATGAAGTTGACGAAGTACTGTTACGTATTTCAGAAATCGAATTTGACAGAATTTAAATTTACACAAAACATGACGGTTAGTTCGGGAGCAGCGCCTGATTGCAAACCCTTTGAAATGGCGGGAGGGAGGAGGGGGCGTGACTCTCGCATCTCTCACCGACGCATTTCCGTTTGAGGTAATTTTCATTTGCGAGATCTTTGTAGGTTACTGATGGTTTCTTTAAATTTACTTCAAACACAGGTAACATCAAGGCACAAATAAAATCGCAGCCGATACCAAAGAAAAACACTGGCCCAGTCACTGTAGTAGTTGGAAAAACATTCCACGATATCGTCATGGATCCTAAAAAAGATGTTCTTATCGAGCTGTACGCACCATGGTGTGGACATTGTAAGGCCCTGGAGCCCACTTACAAGAAACTTGGAAAGCATTTTAAAGACGAGCCTAACATAGTCATTGCTAAAATGGACGCTACAGCCAACGACGTACCCCCCGGGTTTTCCGCGGAAGGTTTTCCGACCATCTACTTTGCGCCGGCGAACGACAAGAAGAATCCTTTTAAACATGACGGAGAGCGAGGATTTGACGACCTGGTGAAACTTGTGGAGGAGAAAGCGACGGTATCGCTTAAAAAAGCCGCTAAAGAAGAACTTTAAAATTCTAGGTAGAAAACATATTTCGACCGTTTGGAACATTTTGCATCGCTAAATTAAACAGACAAATTGTGGGCAAGAAATCCGTGCAACTGTATATTTTCCTGGACATGGAGAGAGAAAAGTCGTATTTTTTCATCAACAATGGATTCTTGCTAGTTCTGGACAGGACGTAAATCTACACTGTAGCTCCTCTTTTTTTTCGTTTGGGAAGATGAGTATATTCACAATGTAGTTGGCTAATAAAACCACCTCGTACCGTATCGTTCTTCTTTATTCAGATTCTATAACCTCAATTTTTCTCTTGATTTTAAACAGGACATTTTGCAGCAAACTCTATTTCTGGAATCACAAGATAACGTGCTGTGATTACGAAAGATAATGTTTTCAAGCGAGAAACAATACTCTTGGATGAGAGCTTAGGGGTCGGCTGAGGGCTGTTTTCACTAGCGCGAGAGCATAAGTATAAGCAGCAGACACAGTAATGCGCTGCTAAAGTAGCGCCTTTTGTTGGGAATTGTAAATTGTCAACGTCTTTACTGCGTGTGTCATGCTTATACGCTAGGCATGACGCGTGTTATTTGTGACAGGCGATTTTGTATGACGCCGTGATTTGGCTGGGAAGGCTATGTGTCTCGCGTGATTTGGGTGAGGTTCGTGTGTGAAAGCGTTAAGAGATTATCTGTGATACGTGATTTACAGAAAAGAGAATGCGCGAAGCGCGAAAGGAAGTGAAGGACTTGAGTGTAACGTAAAATGTGCAACAAAAAGCGCGTGAAACGGGATCGCGATTACACTGTTTTGAACTGAGCAACTTGAAAACCAAGCCCCCCTTTTACTTGAAAGTAAAGATGTTACCTCATTTTATTTACAATGCTAATCAGTTGTAGTGTGTAAAAACATCAATTCGTGCAAAAATAATTTGACGTGAAAGGGTTTCCAACTATACAGCAGGGTTACATGTCAGGGAAATTTTAGAATAATGGCAACTGATGTATAAACCAAATGCTCTTTTACTGAAAATTGCATTTTTTAATGATATGTCGGCCATCGTAAAGAGGGTACCTGAATTCGTAATTGTGATGTTTGTTTGGTTTGTTTTTCCTATATGAATTTTTCCGACGTGTTTGATCAGCAGAATGTTATCCATCGCACGTTGAGATTATAAACTTTTTTTCGTCGAAAGAAAAACATTGCTTTGACAGTTATCAATTCCGCTCTTTTATACATCAATGCAAAACAGACAGGTTTGATTAATTTTTGTCGAAAACCAACAATGTTCCCTCGGATAATAGGTCTCTAACATCCTTTGAGGGTTCGACAAATAATATATGTAAATAGAAGGCTTTGCTACAGCTGTCTTTTACTTGAATGACTCATTCATTTGAATAGAGACGGCGAGATTATAGCTTCCGAAAAAGATAATAGCTGTGACAAACGCCCGTCTCGTAAATGAGTAAATTCTTGGAGGCAAAAGTCGCAGTCTAGGCAGTTTTATTCTCAACTTCTGCTTCATTTCGCTGGTGTGAAAATTAATTCTCAATGCTGTTTCTTAGCTCCGCAGAAATACAGTAATGGTCTGTTTCGTCACTAGCATTTTCCAGGTCCTCTTTCCATGACTCGTCTAAATATTAACTACATGCAACATACCCTCATACATGCCTGCTGCCAAGTCACTGTAAAACCTCTTTTGTATTCATTTAAATTAGCCTCACTAAATTCGTTTGAGAGTATACATTATTTTGAATTATCAACTCAGAAACGAGTTTAGTAAGGTTAATTTTAATGAAAAAGAATTTCTAATTGGCAGACATTTATGAAAAGGTTCTACACGGAATGAAATTTGGATTTATTCGTTGTCACAGCCAATATTCAATTGCTTCTCGATTTTAAAATCGATTTTAAAAATCCGAGGTTTTTAAATTGAACAAGTGATATGTTTTACTGCGAGGTGTGAGAGAAGTCTGAGTTTTCAAGCAGACATGTTTCCAGAGTTGCAAATATGAAACTCGCGAAAGAAGATTTCTCATTGGCTGAGATCCTTTTATCGTCGGCCAATCTTTCACCATTAAAAACTGTCGTTTAGCATATAGATTACATAAAAGCTTTTCGCTTCGCTTTTGCATATCTAGAACCAAAACAACCTCGCCCGTGACTGCAAGATTCGAATGCTCGCCGAGCCGTTTGCAACTGATCGTGAACTCATTACACTCTTCGACGATATCAAAGAACATGGCCAGCTGGAAAGTTGAAAGCTCTGGAAGAGATTCCATGGTAAACTTCCTTGTGACGTTTTTATGCATTTAATTTCATTGTATTTTCTTAAATCGTCTCTGCGACGGCAAGGCTCTGACCCCATCGGGTATATTTTTCGCTATGCTAGTTATTTTTTTTCTTTTAGTTCAAAGCGGCCAAAAAAGAATGAAACGGAGGAAGACAAAATGACGAAACTTGTTCGCGATGCAGGAGCCCGCGCGCAATTTTTCGCTTTTGTGGCAACACTCCTAATAGGAAAGGGCAAAATATTATGCATTATGTTTACATACTAGTTGAGGCAAATAGCTGCCAACTTAAATAATTTTTGATCTTTTGAGCTGGGTTTTCATTTCCCCCTTTGCAGCTGGTAAATAAAAATGCAAATTCTGTTTTATCTTCGATTTCCCACAAAGCAACACAGCTCGAAATGTAACCCCAAAGTAAACAAATTTCGAGCACGTAGCTTGTGACTCGATTGAAGAGCTTTTAAGACAGCTTTTCTTCTCATGGTGATTTTCCCGGAATTCACCGCAAAAGTCATTAACTTCAAAAAAGATAGGCTCCGTTATTTTCGCGTCATGATTTGCGCGAAATAAATTCCCTTGAAAAACGTTAATTAATTTTGATCATATATTCGTTTGTAGACAGACGATACGCTAAATTTTGTAACTGATGCTTTCTGGTTGTACAGATTTTGCACAAGAGGTCAACCGTAAAATGATTTAGACTAAAAAGCTGCCGGTGGTCACGTAGTTTTGATAATGGCCAAGAGATTATTGTGATGGCTAGCCTGCGAACAGGCTCCCATTGAGGACGGAAAGAAATTTCGGCGATCGCGAGACAAAAGAATTCGGAGAGCGAAGCGATCGGGGCGTTCGGGCTTCGTTCGGGCTCACCGGGAGT